ACATGCAATGACATGCGAGAGCGGTCCGTGGTGCGCACTAAGTGTGCGACCACACCTCTTCGACCAAACTCCTACTAACATGACTAAATTCATCCGAACATTTAAATTAAACTAAGCATGATTTTACACATAAAAGCTAAATATGCGAGGATACTCGGAGAATGGCTAACTTAACATATTGAGCAGGCAAGCACGGCCCGTGGTGCGCTACGTGCGCAACCACGTTACTCTCGGCCGAATATCGCAAACGTGAATTATCATCCGAACAATAAAGCTAATTTAAACATGATATTGCACAATAAAACTAAGCATGCAAGAATGCTCGGAGAATACATAACTCGTAACATGACAATAATAGGCACGGCCAAGGCTACGGCTACGCACATAACACGCATGCATGACCATATAAAATCTAATCTTAAATAGACATGTTAATCTCGGACAACAAGTGTCGGGAGTTACCTCTTATTTAGCCCTAGAGACTAAATTTGTCGAACCCCCGTACTCGGTCGTCCCTCCGTGTGCGAGCGATGCGTGCGCGCGTTGCGTTCTCGGACCATCGTGGCGTGCTGCTGCTACGCGTGCGATACCAGCTGCTCGCGTACGGTGGTCGCTGCTTGCTTGCGGTACGCGACGGACTGATGTTGCTATGCGCGAGAGCTTCGGACGCGTGATGGCTTGCGGGCGTGCGGTAGCGTGTAGCTTGCGGGGTGCGCGGCTCTCGGCTATGCTCACGCACAACACACCAAAATTCTCACTAACTCTCACTATACTCTCGGCGATATGAACTAAGGCGTGAAGAAAAATGGGACAATGTCTCCAAACACTCTCTTATGTACAAGGCCGAAAGATTAAATGGTCAAGCTTATGACACTTGCTACACATGCCATTAAATTTGGACACAACACTAGAAGCCAAAGAGACATGCATGTTGTCTTCTAGCCTCAACTCTACACGCCCCAAAATGCTAACCAAAGAGAAGAGATGCTCGGTCAAATATTCCCTCACATGCACGGCAAAGGGACAAAATGCACCAAAAACAATACAACATGCTACAAGACAAATGTTGGAAAGCATCTTGGACCAAGGTTAGCAAAATGCCAAGGAGGGCGCACGGACTACATGATAAATGTTGGGCACGGATTCTTGCACAAATGCATTAACACATTCACGGCTATAAGCATCAAAATTGAACAAAAATACTACTAACTCATACACATAGCACACATAAGCACAATGCACACGGCAATAGCAACAATGTGCACGGCTTTCATCATAAATGGATTAAAAATCCGAACAATTAAGCTAATCTCGTGATTAATTTAAATTAATCACTTAACTATGTTTAATTAACCAATTAAACATAATGCTTAATTACCAAAATTATTTCGAACGTAAACGGTACGTCGAAAATAGTTCCGGTAATTTTTGACTGAAATAACTGAAATTAATTAATTCCGAAAAATAATATCGGAACTAAAATATTATTATACTGATAAAAAGTCGGGATATTACAGTGGGTCTATAAGAGAAAGAGAGGATCAGATGGGAAGGTTGAAACCTTCAAAGCTAGGCTTGTTGCGAAAGGGTACACTCAGAAAGAAGGGATCGATTATGAGGAAACCTTTTCGCCGGTAGCCATGCTCAAATCCATCAGGATTATCTTGGCTGTGGCCGCTCATTTGGATTATGAGATTTGGCAAATGGATGTTAAGACCGCTTTCCTTAACGGGAATTTGGACGAGGACATCTATATGCAGCAACCAGAAGGATTCATTGCAAAGGGCCAAGAGCATCTGGGCTGTAAGCTGAAGAGGTCCATTTATGGGCTGAAGCAGGCTTCGAGGTCTTTGAACATCCGTTTTGACGAGGTTGTCCAATCGTATGGATTTACCCAATGTCCGGATGAGCACTG